GCGTGTGTTAAAGGCATCCTTGCACACATTCTACTCATGGACACCATTTCTGGCCATTTCTAGAAGCAGAGCCCAAAACAGCTAACAATCCAGCCCCAGCCGTGAGAGTCAGTTCAGCTGTAAAGGAGAGAGACATGCCTGATTTGATTCTATAGAATTAGGGAGAGTCAGACTTTTCTCTCCCCCCTCAAAAACATTTCCCGCTTCACCAACTGCCGTGACACTGCCAATGTTGAGTTAAAGTTCAGGTTGCCGTGGTCCTGGATTCTTCTCTGCAGAAGGGAGATGTACCTCCACCTGATGTCTGGAAAATGCTTCTCATTGGAATAATTAAACATAGAAGCTGACACAACAAACCACCACCGATTTGTGATTTTGATGAAAATATTTTTGCATTTTCAAGGAATGGCTCAAAATGCTGCCTTTGTTACACAGTCTTTGTTTTGACAAAGAGCAAAAAAGAGTGAAAACAAGCAAGCTCTGGATCCTTTTTCCCCTGTGCAACTTAATTCCCAAACCAAACAACTGGGCACGTGACTCGTGAGCATGTTCCTTGGTTCATTTCTAGACCCGGTTCCCCCAGAACCTCGATCCGCTCCCAGCCATAGAAGGCACACAATAGGCCTGTCACAGGTTTTAAGTCAGGTAACCACTTTTAATTTGAGAAATTATTACCTGGGGAGAAAATAGGCTGTTCCCCCAAGTACTTCAAAGAAAAAAAACAGAACTCAAGATGCACACACAGCCTCCCCGGACTGGACGGACTCTCTGAAGCTTGCCAGTGTGCCGCCTAAGCAGCTGTTCAAATAAGTAGCTGCCTGAGGAAATGTATATTCAAATGCTGCTGGTTCTTGCCTCTCCTTGCTTCACACCTAAAAGCCAGATGCAAGTTCTTCCAGGGCGTACAAATAGATGCCTTCTGGTGGCTCATTATGGTAATTACTGGCCATATATTACTGCCATGTGAAAAGGGCTGTGAGGCAGGCCAGCCCAGGGGCATTTACAAGTGGTTTATTTGTGTTGAGCTATTAAGAATCCTCCAGTTATCAGATCAACTACTGCTCTTTAGGTTTTACAAGCAAGTCAGTGGACAATCTGATCCTTCATCTGCTACCTTTGTGATATATTTAAGCACCACTTAGGGACCTAACATGCTGCTTAGGAAAGTGACTGACAAAGGGCTTCTCAAGTCTGCAGCGTCCTGGGAGCGGTTTCTGCAGCAATCCCTGCCCCCAGCCCCTCCAGTCGCCACAGAGCTCTCTCCATTCTTTGATCTTCCTTGAGCTGTGCACATCTTTGTTGGCCTCCAGCACCTTCTTGCTGTGTGTGTGGGTGCCACTGGGCTTCCTGGCCTCAGACAGCCCAAGAGTTGAATTCTGGGTTTGTTGGGTCTGAAGCTTACTTGATTCCATTTTTTTTTTTTACAAGAAGCGTGGAAAACTTATGACTATAAAATGGGGCACAAAAATGAAGATTTGGGATGAGAAACAGTAAGAGAACTGACAAAGCAGCCAGTGTCACACAATCTAAAAAGAGCTTGAGTTTTCCATCACTCCTGTAATGCTGCTTTCTTACAGCTTTGATTTCCTCTTGGTATGATGATAGTTTTGTAATATTTTTATTTAAAAAAATCACTCAGTACTTTAGTAGCCCTGATTTAAAATATTTTTAAGTACTTAGTTTGAGAAAAGTTAATTTTGCAGACTTATGTGTTATGCTGTGTAAAGCTTTAGAATTCTTGATCAGTTTGGGGAAAATGTTAATGCTGATTTCCATGAGCTATCTTTCTCATGACAATTCAAGCTGGTTTTGCAATAACTACTGAAGTGTAGGTTGAACTGAAATACACTCATTAAGTCCCTTGTCGTGGATGGCATCATTGAAATGTATCTTTAAATTACTGTCTTGTTTCCATCTGAGGTTTTTGTTGTGTTGTTTCTGTGTGTCACATTAATTAGCATTCATTTCATGACTCCATCCTTATTAATACAGAGAATGGATTTTATGCATTTATTGCTTTTTGTTTCAAAGTCCATTTTTTCCTAAATTTTCTTGAATTGTTTACGTAATTACAGATGATAAAAAAAAGTTCCCTTCATCAACATTCAAATCAAGAAGACATTGAAAAAAATTCTCGTTTTATGAAAGCATTTGCTTCTCAATTTCAGAATAAATTTGCTCATTTTAAAAAATAACACAAGGGTGCCTCAAAAAGTTCATGCAAGTTTAGAATTCAAAGATTAATAATTTAGTGTACTTTATAAAATTAATGTATGGCTTTTTCATAAGACACATTTCCCATGGACTTTTTGAAAACCCACTGTAGACATGGTTTTCATTTTTAACTTGTTTCCAAAGAAATAAACTTATGTCGTATTTCCATTCTTGATGCACTTCTTATTTGGAAAGCACCCATACAAACAAGGTTCTATGAAGCTTAGGTTCCATTGGAATCATGATCTCTGAGTCCAAGGCATGGCAACTTCCTACCAGCTCCCTGCTCAGTTCCCTGCAGTGCTCATGACCGGGGCCTCTACATTTAAGTGTGGAATTAGGAACTTGTAACTGACGGTGCACATGTGTGTGCTGGGGGTGATCTGAGGCTCCCCCGGGGCTCCTCAGAGCATAAAGGGCAGAGAGCTGAGAAGGTCTTGGTGTGGGAGGTGGGGGAACGAGGAGTGGCTCTCATGAACTGTCCCCCAGTTGGCCTGGTGTTACCACACACATGCTTCTTTACAATCCACTTCTCATGGCGGCCACTGGGTCCGTACAGTTGTATCAGTTTGTTTCACAGGCAAGGGACAGACCATGCGTCAAACGCTTTATGGGTCACATTATCTCACTGAGTTACTATAACAACAAAATCAGAAATAACCTAAATATTTAAGTCAGGTGTTGATTAAACAGTATATTACATATCTGTACAATGGAAGCATACAGTACCTTCAAGTAGTTCCTTAGTGGGGTTTATATTGATCTGAAAATTGTTTTGTGTGATACAAAGATAATATGAATGGTAAAAATCTTGGTTTTTCTTTTTAAAAAATCTGCTGCATGTTCATGCAGAGATAAAGATCTATATTATCGGTAGTTCCTTCTAGAGAGGAAGAATTGTAAGATTTGAAATTTAAAAACAAAAATGCTTGTTTGTGTCATTGAAATCTTTTTTTCCCGATGCCCATCTTTTTAAGAAAAAAAATTTAATGGAAAAAAAGTGTGGGGGGCATTCTCAGACTAGATTTCTTTAGTCTTTTCCGATTTTAAATAATGGCTTGAAATCTAAGATTTATATATGTAGCTCGATCATCATGCTAAAACTGCATTTTCAAGAGGCATTCATCTATTCTTAACAAGGATTACTTTGCTGGACTCACTATAGCAACAGCAGACCGGTCAGTCCCACATATGGCCGCTGGAATCTGCGAATTCCTTCCCTGTGATTGGGACATAGGCTAATATACCCCAGAATTAGTTCCAGGTGGCTGTAAGAGAACTAGTTTAGGTTTAATTGAAGCTCTCTAGGATGTGTGCATATGCACTGAGAGTGTTCCCTGAAAAGGGTCCTAACCATTCCCTCGCAATTGGATATTAAAGTAGGAAAGGACAGGAAACCTTAAGAAATGTGGGGCCGGTACAGCTCCTCAGCCATCATTTCGCACACCTTGTTGTGCCTGCAGTGGCAGGCGGCACTGAGGATCCCCGAGTGCAGAAGCGCTGCCCTGCTTCACCAAAAGAAACAGCCAGGAGAACCTGGTCGAAGGCACACACCACAGCTGCACTCCCAGGCCATGTGGGCTGGGCCCAGGAAGGCAACATCGATTTGGACAAACACCGTTTTAAGAAAGTCTCGCTTCTTAATCTTGGCGAAGATGTAGCAGAGGGCAGGGGAAAAGCCTTCTGCAGAACCCCAAGGACTGTGGTGTGTGGACAAGACACAAGATGGAGAGCTTCTGATCTTAAATGCTTTTCCCAGTCCTCCCTCGCCAGCTGGCCACCATGCCCCCTGAGTTGCATAATGTGAGCCCTTTGACTAAATTAATCAGGGCCGCAAAACTGGCCCTCCTCTGGCAGTTAACGAAATCATACTGTGTAGAAAAGAAACAATCCTTTTTCCCTCTGAGTAGCTGGAAACCCTGTTAAGATAATGACTTGGGCCTCACTTAAAAAAAAAAAGCTGCCACATTCAACCTTCTAAATCTCTGCTCCTGCGGATTGCTGCCCGAGTATGTGTGCTTTGTCCCTGTGTGTGCTAATGGTTTTCTACCGTCTGTCCCAGACACGTGACAGTGCGGTGTCATAGCACCACTGCAAAATGCACTCTCCGTGCCCAGGAAGAACCTGTATAAATATTCTCAATAAATAAATAACAGTTGTCATTTTCAGAATATGACAATCTCCAGCTGCCTGTGCTTAAAGTGAGCGACGTGTCATTTATCCTAATAGATGCGAATGCATGTATTGTACATACCCATGAGTTACCTAATTCTTATGCACTGCAGCCTTGGTCTCAGCTGGGGGCAAGTGCCTCTAACAGGGTTTGGCTAGATCAAATCACAAGCTGAGAAATCTTGGTCAATTACAGAAGCCCGAGGCTAAGGAGGGAGTTGCCTTTTCATACCACCTCACAGACCCCTCCTCTGGCTCACCCAGGGAAGGTTGGGGGTGGGGGAGACACGCCAGTCAACCTTGCATCTGTGGAATTTCTGGGGATCTTTAGCACCCCTGTAATTTAACTTGACTCAGTTGTTCTCTGTCCTCAGAGAGTCGCCTAATCCTCCTGGCATCCCCTCTTGTCAGCACCTCTTTATTTCCCTCTTTAAAGGCTCAACATGTTTTGATTTACACTACGCACCAAGATAACTGCAGGTGCCCTCCGTAAAAAGCAAGGTTAACTCACCTGAGATGAATTCCTTTATTGCACACAAAAGCAACTCAGGAGCAGGAAATACAATTAATACAGGTGTTTCCCTGAAACCTAACAAATGCCCGTTATCCTGCAGGGGAAAGCCTTTAGCAGTCACCTGGAGGTGGCTCGCCTGCTGTTTCAGACAAGCAAGGATCTGAATTAGGATGGGTTTGCAGGAAAAGAGAAATAGCCCCTAGACTCCGGAGAAGCCCAGCTTTTGCAGAAGGTAAGTAAACTAGGAGCCCCAACTGACCCCAGTGTGGGGATTGCTGGGAAGAGCCCATCCAGGGGATTTCTGTGGGGTGAAGGTTTAGGGTTTTCTTCTGACTGCGTAACCCCATTCAGCACTCCAGTGAAGGCAATCTTGGTGGAGCCTGTCACTTGATTCTCCTTGGGAATATATAATGGCTGTATTAATTCAAGGAAAGTGTGCTCAGTGAGACAGAAGTGCTAACTTTCTCTTCTATTTGTCTGAGGTTGCGAGTTAGCTTGCCGTTCTGGTGGTTGACAGTTCATTACTTTGAACATCTCAGAAGTTCACCAAGAGTCTTTTATCATGAAGTGCACGGAAACTTTGCAGGGGATGTTGCAGGCTTATTTGCCGTTCAGGTTAACAAGTGATCAAACAGGAAATCAAGCAAAATAAATGCTGCAGTCCTACAAACAATTTAATTTTGCAAACCTGCCTCAAAGAAAAATTAAGACCAGAAGCCATGAAAAACAAAAGGGAGAAATTGTCAACTTAGCAAGAATACCTGACAAGCAGTTAAACAATTAAATTGCCAAGTACATTACACTTCATTTTTTAAAGCCTTGATCATGTCTCCAAATAAATAACATGCTTTCTATCTTTTAAATCTCGGTCCTGATACTGACTTTGCATTATTTCATCAAGTAAGCTGTTAACTTTGCAGTCAGGGCTGATATAAACTCATCTGGGGGACGACAATCCACTTGTCCCATTGTGACTTGCCTCCGACCTCTCTTCTTTCCCCAAAGCACACTCACAAAAGGGTCCCAACAGAAGCCTCAAAGGCAGGTTCTACCTACCTGCCCTGGGAATGACAAGATGACAAGGCTGCATGCTCAATTTCACCGCTCCCCCCCCCCCCAGTAATTGCCTTAGCTCTTGCCAAATGATGTGCTAGCTTTCTCAGGCTCTCTTGATTTAAATTGGAGGGAAGGTGCTAAACTTTTATAAATCACTTCATACCAGAGCCTGATTGTTTGAAGCAATGCCTTTTTGTTTTCTAGAATTTGATTCTCTTGCTCAAGCTGGTTATAAAACCTGTGACTTTGGACCCTAGAATATGTTATTATGTTTTTGACTGCACAGTCTGTCAAGTTTTCCTGTGTAACAGAAATGAATGCTATGTTGTGGAGCTCCCTGTGAGCAGTAGATACAGGTGCAACAAAGGAGTTAAGTAAGATTGCCAGCTTTTCTAAGTGAAAATACAACATGCCTAACTGAAATTCAGATAAACAAGGAATTATTTGTTAGTGTAAGAATGTCCCATGCAACATTTGGGAAATAATTATACCCAAAAAAATCTTGTTTATCTGAAACTCAAATTTAGCTAGACACCCTGTATTTTATCTGGCAACCGTAGTGATGAATAAAGCCAGAATAGATTTATATCTGTGAGTTTCTATGGGTAACATTTTATTGAGAAACAAAGGAATGAATTATATTTCAAGTTTGGTGTTGGAAAAACGTGAAAGGACTAATTTAAATAATAGGTAAAAATAAGATTGTTGCTAAAAAAAATACTAACATGACTAGGGGTTTTCTGATTTGCATCCATGTAAAATACAAATTTTCTCTGCGTGTATAAATATAAAACCTCCTTTGTTTTCTGTCTGAATTAGCGTTGGTTATTTTTGTGCATGACCCTCTAAAATGCTTTCATTACTCAAATAATCAGAACTGGTAACACTGAGAACAGAAAATGGGGAGGTAGGGGCCTGATTAGTCTGGCTCAGTGCCAGCATTGTGGTACAATTGTTCCATTAGCACTCGCCCGACCCCAGCACCTTGTAACAGGCAGCTGGCCTGAGCCCCGGGTGCTCCACTTCCAATTCAGCTCCCTGACAATGCACTTGGTAGGTTGCAGAAAATGGTTCAAGGCCTTGGGTCCCTTTAGGGACCCAGATGGAGTTCCTGACTCCTGGTGTCAGCTGGTTCAGCCCTGAGTGTTGCAGCATTGTATAGATGATCTGTGTGTGTGTGTGTGTGTGTGTGTGTGTGTGTGTGTCTCTGCCTTTGAGATAATAAGTTTTTAAAGATAAAATTAGTTCAAGGAAAATGGGATTTCGCTCTAACTTGGACTATCATAAGCAAAATGTTAGGAATTAAGTAACTGAGACAATGTCCAGAGTCCAAGAAAAGTATACTAAGGATAATTGATTATCAAAGTTGTTATTACACAAGAGAATGTTCTAATTTTTACTATCCTAGTTCATCATTACAAGAAAAATAGTCATGAAATTCATTTGATGTGCTTTCTCATAATTTCTTTCATTACAAATTTTGTACTATAAAGCAATTCTAAATTACTGTTACTTCTGTTTCTTTTATTAAATATTAATTCTAAGAAAAGTACTATGAATTATTTTTATTGCTGTTAGAATTCTGCAGTGGGTGTTCAGTGCAGTGATTAAAGCTCAACTTGGGACACCAATAGCCGTCCAAGTTGGAACGCCTAGGTTTGAGTTCTTGTTCTGATCCCAGTTGCTCTTCCCGATAATGTATATTATATGAAGCAGCAGTTGATGACTCACTCAGGTACCGGAATCCCTGCCATGTAGAGGACCTGGACTGAGTTCCTTCCTGGTTCCAGGCTGTGGCATGACCCAATTCCAGCTGTCGCAATTCCAGCTGGAGAATGAACCAGCGTGTGTGTGTGTGTGTGTGTGTGTGTGTGTGTGTGTATGTGATCTGTCTCTCCATCCTCGGCCTTCCAAATAAAGTAATTAACTGAACTAATGCCAACTTTATAGTTGAAATGTTTCATGGAGTTTCTCTTTATATTTAATATATCACATATAATATATTTGTATGTATTTATATAATATATATTTATATAAAGTATAATATATATTTTATATATTTATATATGTATTTTATTTCTTACTCTTAAGCAGAACTTAGAAAAGACACTGTTGGTACTTTTATTAGAACAGTACCCATGTGAAACTTAATTTCACAATTCAAAATTCCCCAATAAAGTTCCTTTCTTTCTAAGTGGTTTGATGAATGGAAGGCAATGAGATGTGTTTGTTGCAATACTAAGGAGTGAACAACAGGCTTATAACATGACAGTAGAAATGAAGGACCCGCTGATATAAATGTTTTCTCAGTCATCGTTTTATCTGTCTGCAGCATTTCATCTTGAATGGTAAATTTTGGTTTAATGTCTGGTTGAGATGTCAGATTGGGCAAGGACTGAGGTGTAAGTCAATATCCATGCAGATAGGTATCTGCGTATTAGTTCCCTCTTGGGTACATTTCAGGACCTCTGGTAGATGCCTGTAACTACATAAAGTGCCAAACTTTAAATAGGAGTTCAGTTTATTTTAGTGTAAAACCCATTTTCCAGGAACCTTTTGAGACCCCTTCATGTGCCTTCATGTGTCTCCTTCTGTCCACGAAGAAAGCGCTAGTGACCACAGGTCCTGGTTTACAGACTGTGTGAAAGGGTGTGCGTGGGAGGAGGTGGGGAAATCGGATGAAATCTCTTTGTAAAGCATCTAACACCCAGTACATGGAAAATTAAGAAAAGAAACTTGGTATTTAAGAATCCAGTGCTGAGACCGCTTTGTGACTTCATATGCAAGTGGAGAATAGAGATTAAACACTGCCCCTCTGACCAAGGCAATGTGGTACCTGGACCTATGGACAAATACAAGTGTATGCACCCTTACCAGGGGGAGTGTGTGATATCACATGACTTAAAAGGCTCAGCGGTTGGATGAGCAGAAACAGCTGTGACATTTGACTGTGGCAAGGATAAACAGGCAGCATAAATGGGCTGAGTTGTGTATCCTATTCCCTGATGTCACTCCACTACTGAGAGCACAGTACCTGCCTTGCTGAGACACCTGTAGTCTTGGCAATTGTGCCTGAGCTCAGGAAGGAAGAAGTCCTCCAACCCTTGGCAGTTGGCATTGGCAGGAAAGATCTGCAGGAGGTAGTGAGCCCTCTTAAGAGAGCAGTAAGTCATGCTCGCACTACATTTTCCCTAAAACCAAAGGAAAATCCATATTTTCAACCTTTTAAAATTGGAAGGTGAGGGAATGGATTTTGAATCAACTTTGTATTCAGGTGCTGCTTGGAATGCCCGTTAGAGCCCTGGCTGCTCTACTCTCTTGTCTCAGCTCTTGCTGATTGATGCTCCCTGGCAGATGGCAGGTGGCGGCCCACCCACGTGGGAGAGCCACATGAGTTCTGGGTTCCTGATTTGAGACTGGGCCAGCCATTGCTGTTGCAGGACTGTTAAGGAGTGAGTCAGAGGGCAGAAGCTTGTTGTCTCTCCCTGTTCCTTTGCATTTCAAATAAATACGTTTCGAAGAAAAAAAAAAACTTTTGAGAAATGTAGCTTCGTAAGAAATTACAGAGATAATAAAGTCCTTTCTGCCTAGCTCCAGTTTTCCTTTGTAGATTCTGTGTCTGAGTCTTTAGTAACTGTGCGTTCAGTGTCAAGTCCGGGACACTGAGACTGGGACAGGGTGAGGACAGTGCTAGGTGGTTTCCCCACATGTGTAGTTTCACTTCCGCAATCAAGTTATGGGCATGTTTACTGAGGTTTTGGGGTTTTTTTTAGTTTTAAAACAAGACTTATTAGAAAAGCTGAGAAAAGAGGTTCCTGTCCTAGTGACGGGAAATTGAGTTTTATTTTACAAGAAGCATCAGGTTTTTTTAAAATCATGAAAATAATTCAGAGAAATATAAATATTAATTCTATTACACCTACACATTGATTAGCAGAGGTGGATGTAAGCCCCGAGTGCAGTGGCTCGAGGGTCTGGCTGCAGACTTGAGCACTTGTCAAGGGCTCTGGCGACCTCATCTCCTTCGCAGTGTGCTTTCCCTGTGCTCTTTGTAAATGTGGCCATCATACGTAAATACTTTGGGAAGCAACTTTACATTCTAAGTCATTTCTTTCCCTCTGTCATCATTTATGATTGCATTGGCGGAAATGTACGTGTTTTACAAAAGGAAAATGT